GCCAGGGAGCAGCTCCAGCAGGGAACAAGGGCTAGGGAGGGATTCAGCTGGGGAGCAGCCCTGGGGGGCTGTGGGGGAGAGACAGGTGAGTAGCCTGCCCCCCATACCCCACATGCATTAACCCCTTCAACCCCCTGGGGTGGGCTGCAGCAGCTGCTGGGTCGGGAAGCACGGGGGGTCCTGGGCCAGGACGCGGGGCTGATGCCCCCAGGGCAATGCAGTGGCAGGAGCTCAGAGCGCAGCACTGCCCCACTCTCCTGGCGCCCGGTCACGAGCCGCCGCCTGCTCAGCCCAGGCTGGGGCCCGGCTCCTACCTGCTCGAAGAGGAGGGCGAACTCCACGCTGTCCCGGGGCACGTTCTCCGTGTCCAGGAAGCCGTAGTGCTTGAAGCAGAGTCTCCAGGTCGAGTCCTGCGTCGTCTCCTCCCCTGCCAGGCTGGGCGAGGCCGAAGGGACAGACAGCGCCCGTTAGCACCAGGACCCACAGACGCATGCAGCCCCCCAGGCTCCTCCTGGGGCAAACGAACCACCCGGGCCCAGGCAGAACTGTGCTATCGTCATGGGGCCCAGGCAACTGACATTGCCCCCCCGACACACTGGTTCCTCCCTCCCCATTGGGCACGCTTGCCTTCCCCTCCCCCTGGCTCCCCCCAGCTCAGGGCTCCTGTCTCCCAGCCCCCCTCCGCCCCCCCTCCCCGACTCCCCCCAGCTCAGGGCTCCCATCTCCCAGCCCCCATCCCTCTCTCTCCCCAGCCCCACTCTGCCCCCCCCCCGGATCTCCCCAGCTCAGGGCTCCTGTCTCCCAGCCCCACTCTGCCCCCCTCCCCCTGGATCCCCCCAGCTCAGGGCTCCTGTCTCACAGCCCCCCTTCCTCTCCCCCCGATCCCCCCAAGCTCCCCTCCCCCTGGTTCCCCCAAACCCCCTCCACCCTTTTTCCCTCCCAGCCCCCAGGCCCCCCTAAGACAGCTGCACAAGGGGACATTTACTTTTCAAACCTGGTGAGGACGTCGGCCACCAGCGTGGCCCTGCCCACGGGCCGCTCGTGGTGCCGACTCTGCTCGTAGAGTGCAAAGACGTTGGGGCTCTGAGACAAGCCCAGCCGAGCCACCAGCTCTCGGGCCACCTGGGGCGAGACAAAGGCAACCAAGGGGTGACTGCACGCCCCGGACCACGGCGCTCAGGGCTGCAAAGGGACACAGACAGGTCACGGCGGGGAATCCCAGACATTCCCCCAGCGGCTCCCACCCGCCTTCCACATGCCCCGGGGCACCAGAGCTGGGGTCTGCTTTCCACAGCCCTGAGCCCCACACAGGGCCCGGCGTCCCAAGGTCACCCGCTCCCTCCACTCTGCAGAAACCTGCCCCCTCACGGCTCAACCCTGGTGCCCCAGCCTGGGCACTGTGGTCGGGAGCCGCCCCTCCATGCTGGGCCCCCCACAGCCCGTCCCCTGCCCCACTCCCTGCTCACCTCCTCGGCCGTGGTGTGGGAGCTGATGGCCACGGTGCAGGCGGAGGTACCAGGGCAGTGCACAGTGCAGAGCATGTCCTGCCGCTGGATCAGTACCACGATCTCGTCCAGCGAGGGGACGCACTCCCGCACCTGGGTCTTGTCCAGGGCCGCCGCGATGAAGCGCCCGTACTCCGCCATCTCCGAGCCAGGGAACTCGCGCTCCGTCCTGTGGGAGAAGATCAGGGAATGAGCAGCACCAACCACGCTGCCCAGAACCCAGCCCCTGGGGTCCGGCCGCCATCACGCCCTGTCACAGGGGGTGTAACACAGGCGGCCTGGAGCCAGGACCTTGCCCCTCGCTCTGCACCAAGGATGCCTGGCACGCAGCCCTCGCGGCTGCTCCATCCCCAGGACCAGGGTGCCCGGATCCCACCCACACTACAGTCCCCGTCACCCCGCGGCCTGGCTGGGAGCTCACGGACTATTTCAGCAGCCAGATTTGCTCTCTGCTGACAGGACTGGGAAGGCAGACATGGCGCCTAGCACCGTTAGCCCACGGCACTCACTGTCACAAGAACACACTGGGCCCGAGGGCTCAGACACAGACGTAGGGAAGGAGGGCAGCCAGACCCCCAGTGGAGGGGGCACGTACCCCTCTGCTCCAGGCCTCGTTCCAAGCTCCCTATGGGGCAAGGGCTCTGCAGAGCAAGGCCGTTCACCCCTCCAGTACACAGCCTGGAGACACATGCACTGCCTCACCCCCCGCCCCCAGATCCCCAGGGCCCAGTGCACCCTGCCACCCCTCCCCCAGGGCCCAGCACGCCCCCCTCCTCTGGGTCCCCAGGCCCCGCACCAGCAGCGTTCTCCCCTGGGGTGCACACCCCACCCCCCTGCACTTGCCTGCCCAGGTGGAAGCGCAGGTAGCGCAGGACAGGCGGGGAGGGCAGGAAGGTGCAGCTCATGCAGGTGAGCAGTTGCCAGTAGCGCAGGTTGCCAGGCCCCCCGGGCGCCGGCGGCTCCGTGGTCTGCTTGACCAGCTGGCAGTAGATCTCGTCAACCAGGGGCTGCAGATCCAGGCAGGTCTGCAGGACGCCCTGGATCAGGGGCACCGGGTCTCGCTCCGACTCCAGCTGCTGCAGGGAGTTGAAGAGCTTCACGGCCTCGTCACGCAGGGTCATGTAGCCGTGGGGGCTGGGGGCTGGAGGCGGACGGCTCGGTTAACAGGGCAGGAACCAGGCAGGCCAGGGTTGGGTCCCGGCTCCCGGGGGCCAGTCCCTGGATCTCGCTACGGCTCAGCTCGGCCCTGACTGAGCTCTGGGGGGGGCACCTGGCACAGTGGAGCCCCCCTGCCCATCACCAAACACCCACCCAAACCCTACCAGGCACAAGTGTCACCATGGCGACCCAGAGGGGCACAGACGCTGGGCCTGCTCCCCCGGCAGCTCAGAGCCGGGCTGGTGGGTGGGTCAGAGCCCAGCTCGGCTCCTGGCAGCAACCAGCCTCTTCCTGCCCTGCAGGAGCGCTGTGCCCAGGACAGGGGGACGGGACGTGAGAGCCACCACGTGAGAATCATGAGACAGACACGCAGGGGCCTGGGCAGGAGCCCAGCCGAGAGCCCGGAGACACCTGGCACCCACGTCTGCTGGGCCCACAAGGGGGAGGCTCTTCCACGGCGCCCCCCACTCCCTGAGCCCCCCATTCACGGGGTGGCACTCCCCCCGTCCACGGAGCCCCAGGCAGCACATCCAGCCCTGGCCCCCCTCCCAGGGAGCCGCAGAGCTGGGCCCCGCCCCCGCCCGCTCACCGCTTTGGTCGGAGCTGCCGTACGGGAAGGGCAGCAGGGGCGCATAGAGCGGGCTGCTGGTGTAGCGCAGGACCGGGTTGCAGCGATAGATCTGCTCCAGGATCTCCGGGCTCCCGCGGTTCTCCTGGGGAGACAAAGGTGCAGCCGGGGCTGCAGGGCAGGTGGCGGGGCACAGACGGGCGCAGCAAAGGCAGGGGCTGGGGCTCTGGGTTCCAGTCCCGGGGGGCTCTGCTCTGCACCCAGGCAGCGTGCGCTGCAGGCCATGGTTGGGGGGGGGGGGTCACGGGGAGCCAGTGATCGTCCGGCAGCAGCTTCCCCACCCGAGGGCTGGGAGCCAGCCAGGGCTGTGGCAAGGGGAGAGGAGGGTCCTGGGGGAGCCATGGGCCGGCCCAACACGCCCCCCTCCTGGCCTCACCTCGATGTCGTGCATGAGCAGCTGCGTGGGCGTCTGCACGGGGGCCTTGCTGTGAATCACCTTCTGCACGGCACACACCCAGTGCACGGCCTCGTTCAGGTGCTCGCTGTACAGGCGGTAGCAGTGTTTCCGGCCAAACACCGTCACGCTCCAGTAGCCTGCGAAGGGCAGAGCGCTCACGCAGGCCGCAGGCCACCAGCCCCGCGCCCCAAGCCCCCTCCTGCTTCCCCCCAGCCAGAAGCCAGCTCCAGACAGCAGGATGGGCCCTTCAGACCTGGCCCCCTGCACCAGCGGCTGGGCCCAGGCCTTGCCACCCGCAGCTGGACCCAGGGGCGGGGGCTAGCATCTAGAGCTGCTCCCGCCAGGGAGCCACATGCAACCCGGGGGGAAGCGCTGAATGCCGAGCTAGACACGCCCTTTCCCAGCAGCTCTGCATGGGGACGCCGGGGAGGTCTGTGTCCCAGACGGACGCCCTCCGGGTCTCTGTTAAGGATGAACCCTGCCCCCAACCCCTCCCTGGCGTCCGCGCCACTGGCCGGGGGCCGGGACCCATACCGGTCTCCTTGTAGGTCTGCTTGTCGGGCCACTGCACGGAGCAGAGGCTGGTGAGCACCAGGGTCCCCAGGCGCCTGGCTCCCACCTCGCTGCCGCTGTAGTAATCCAGGGAGTCCTGGGTCAGCACAAACCAGTATTTCCGGGGCCGGATCCACGGGCCCTTCACGCCCCCCCGCGCCTCCCTCTGCAGCCAGCCTGGGGGGACAGAGAATGGGGTGAGTTCCCCCAGGGCCCAGCACCGCCCCGGCCGGTCCCCCCGCACCAGGGCAGTTCTGGCTGTTTGCAGCCCCTCGGACCCCCGCCACACAGGGGCCTCTCCGGGAGAGGGTGCGGGGGAAGGGACTGAGCTGACCTGAGGGGCAGTGGGCAGCCAGGATCCACCCTCCACGTGCCTGCAGCGCAGTCCAGCCCCTGAGGGACCCCCGCATGGCTACAGAGCCCCCTTGGCAGCTGGGGGGCAGGGCTGCAGGCAGAGCCGGCCTGGCTGTGGCCCCCCCACATTACAGCTCGGGGGGCCGGGGAGCCGCCGCTCACGTCTGGCCAGCGCCTTATGCAACCACAGGAAACCAGCCGGTCCTGGCCATGTCATGGCCAAGCTGGGGCCTTCAGGGCCTCCACGGCCCCCGCCAGTGCCTGCAGCCTCAGCCCAGAGCAATGGGAGCCAGGGGGAGGAGTGGGAGTGTCTGAGGTTCAAGACCCCAGGCTCCTTGGAGCCCCAGGTTCAAATCCCCGTGGGGCTGGCTCAGGGTCTGGGCCAGCGTGGAGCCCTCCCCATCTGCAGGGACCAACCACGGGAAGCAGGGAACTGCCCAAGCGTCCGTCTTCCCCTTGGGGTCCCCCAGCCCCTCACCCACCTTTCACGATGGCATCAGGATCCTCCTCCACTGGCCCCGGCCCTGGCCCCTTCTCCGTGATGAGGCTGCGCATCTCCTCCGAGGCCGGCAGAGACCTGGGACCAAGACAGGAGGTGAGTGAGGGGCCCCAGGACCAGCCAGTCCCCTCAGGGACCTGCGCACCCTGCTTGGCACAGCCAAGGCTCAGCTCCTTGCCTGGGGGTACCAGGCTGGCACAGGCCACGTGGCAGCAGCACCCCTCAGCCCCTGAGGCTCACGGCCAGGCTGGGGCTGCAGCCAGGGGCACAGAGAAAGGGGCTCAGGGGGCAGCGCCGGCCCCAGAGGGGGCAGCAGCCCGCCTGCCTTGGCCTGAGTGGAGACAGGTGGCACCCCCAGTGCAGCCCAATGGGCACGTTGGGAGACCCTGCCGATGTCCCAGCTCCCAAGGTCCCACCAAGGAGTCTGGGAGGAGCCCTGGCAGGGGAGGGGGATTCATGCCTCATGTCATCCCAGCCCTCCTAACAAACCACTGTAAAGCCAGCCCCACCCCGGGGGGTCTGGCCCCAAGCACCTGGCCTCGGCCAAGACTAGAAGAGGGGCCCTCAGCCCCCGATGCCGCCCCCCCCCAGTGACTGTACATGGCTCACACGCAGCGGTGCGGGGGTGTGGGGTGACCCAGTCCAATCCAGAGGGGAATGACACC